CATGAAGGGTGAGCTGCCTGCTAAGGTAATGTGGTGTACAGCAAGGTTGTGTGTTCGGTTCCCGGTAAATTTGAAATAACAACAAAAAAAAAAAAAAAAAAAAAAAAAAAAACCCAAAAAAAATCGATGGATAGAGGCGCTAAAAATATTACTCCAATATTATTCTCTACAGAGCGTAGAAATTCTTCCACTCTAAGAGCAGGATACTGAGAATTTTCTCCCCCACATGAGTACTGTATTAGAGAATCCTACATCTGTCTATGTCAACCTTCTCTTTCAACTCTTCATTTTCACCTTAGCATTCCTAACTTATTTCCAACCCCAGTCTTATGCGGAATGATGGAATAACATTTTAAGCAGCACCACGGGGAGCCAAGTGCTAAGACATGAAAGAAAATTTTGGTCTCAGCTTTTCACCAGGATCCCTTTTGTCCAAGAATGTGTGTCTTTCTATTGAAATATTATGTAGGGACATGGAGCCATTGAACCCTCTTCCCAGGCTGAAGGCTCTAGTTCATCAAAGAACTTCCATGGAACTGTATGGATACCAGTTGTACATAGCTGGGACACCAGCTGGTCCAGTGTCTGCCCACTGTGCCTCAAGGAAGGAGATGTTTCTTCTCTCCCTGTTTTGAGACCCCAGTACTCTACTAGTTCTGCCAGATTGGCCAGTGAAATCCTTGAAGATAGAAGGGGCATCAAGGTTTCTGTCCCCCGAGAAGGTCATGCTAATCTGCTTTCTGCCCGGTACTGCCCTTGCCCCATGTGGAATGAGACCAGCTCAGCTCAGCTGTGGCTGTCAGCTCAGCTCTTTCCTCCTTAGACTACGGCAGCTTACAAGATTCCATCCAGAAAAGTCTTCAGTCATTGTTCAAGGTCCTGGCCATCCAAAAGTCAGGAGACTTATACAAAATGGCACTGGAGTGGATGACCATCATGCAAAGCCTGGGTGAGTGCAGGCCTCCAGCTGAGCCTGAGGGTGGGGCCTGAGGCTGAATGGCCTAGAGACTTGGGGTGCGGGGGTGGATGGGAGAAGATCTAAAGGACATCTAAGGATGGGAGAAGAGTCAGGACTTCTTCCTTCAGGGGTATTTCTTGGCATGAGGTGACCCAGTCTTTTTTTTTTTTTTTTTTTTCCGGTACCGGGGATTGAACTCAGGATCTTGCGCTTGCCGGGCAGGCGCTGTGCCACTGAGCTAAATCCCCAACCCCCAACCCGGTCTTTATTTACGGTGCAAGTTTTATTTCCTCTAACGAGAAGAGAAACCAGGCTGGCCTGGCGAGGCACCCAGGAGACCAGGAGCAGGGTGCACGTCTTGCAGAAGCTAGAACCCTATTATTGCTCTCTAGTGTTCCTCTGACTGCTCATACAGGTGCCCTGCTGGAGCTGTGGATGTCTTTTCAGCAGAAATGGATTTTTCTGAATAAAGTTCTATATGAGATGAAGATCCAGTTTCCTAGTGCTGAGCTGGTAGGGAAGGGAGTGAAGCAGAGTGGGCAAGAACTCCCAAACAGTGGGGCACAGGGCTGGAGGGGGAGCTACCACTTCCTGTGTGCCTTCACTTCGACTCTTTCCACAGTACACTCGTTTCAAGGCTGTGGACGATCAGTATCGGGTGCTGATGCGCATCTCTGTAGCTGACCCTCTGGTTCTGTCACTTATACTGCCCAGTGCCAAGAGAAGCCCTTACTTTCAAGGTCAGCAGCTACAACAGCAGCTGCAAGCAGGATCAGTGGAGCTGGAGGGCATTATCATGGCTCTGGAGACTGTGCTGTATGGGGTGTGTGCCCACTTCCCCCGCCTCTTCTTCCTCAGTGACAGCGAGCTGGTGGCCCTGCTCGCTGCCCCTCTAGAGCCTTGTGAGGCTGAGCTGTGGGCACATCGCTGCTTTCCTCCCATGCATGCTGTGAGCTTCAAGTCCAGCCCAAGCGATGAGAAAAACATGGATGACCAAGAGTCAAGCTCAAGCAGACAGACTCAGGTGGAGGCACTTGCTGTGCTAGGGGAAGGAGGGGAGGTGGTGAAGCTGCAGGGACCCCTTCTTTTGTATCCAGATCTCCCCAAGTGGCTGGCCTCTCTGGAGAACTGTCTGCACTTGGCACTTGTGTGCATGTTGCAGGACTGTGTGGCGGCCCGTCTTGAAGTGAGACCTTCCATAGGTGAGACCTTTAAGAAGTTGCCTGAGCAAAGCCAGTCGGCCCTACATCCAAATATTCAGCACTGGCTAGATTTAGTCCAGGCCTTCCCATGGCAATGTGTAATGGTAGCAGAGGAGGTGGTGTGGCGGGTTGAGATGGAGGAGGCTCTGCTTGAGTTGGGGACCCTGGCCACAACCCCCAGGCATATACACAAGCTTGAGGTACTGGTGCAATTTATGCGAGCTCAGAGGAGCTCCCAAGGAGGGCAGCCCCTACTCTCTGTCCGCCAGGCCAGCCTTCTCAGCGCTCTGCTGGTCATGGCAGTGACTCACCGGGATATAGCACAGCTGCTGGAGAAGCACCAGGTCAGTGATCTGACAGACTTCCACTGGGCTCGCCAACTCAAGTATCACCTGGGCTCACCTCACTTGATCCCCGAAAGCCCTCTGCAGAGCCTTAAGACTGTTGTATCCACTGAGCCTTCCCTGACACCAGCTGCATGCTGGATAGATGTGCTGGGTAGGTCCTTCCTATATAATTATGAGTACCTGGGTCCCAGACTGGGGCCTCTACCCAGCCTGCTGCTTGAGCGGCCAGTGCTGGTTCTGTTATTGGCCCTGGAGGAGGTGGCCTGTGGGACCTTAGTGGGCCCCGATGGTGTGGGCAAGACAAGTATGGTGAATAGCCTGGCACGGGCTCTGGGCCGCCAGCTGGTGATGATGCCATGCTTGCCTCAGATACAGGCCCGATGCCTGAGCAACTACTTGCTTGGTGCCCTGCAGGGCGGAGCCTGGCTGTTGTTGGAGGGAGTTGAGCACCTACCTCCCGGCTTGCTCTCTGCCCTAGGCCAGCGCTTGGCTGAACTGCGCTGCCTCTGTGCCCCACTGTACCAGGAGGCTTCCCAAAGCATCAGCACCATAGACCCCACCAAACCCCAGATCCTTGGCAGTGGCTCGTTTGAGAAACATCATGTGTCCGTGCGCCTCGGCTATGGCTGCCTCCTGACACTGCGGGCCCTGAGCCCTGCTGTGCCTGCCAACTTGCATCTGCTTCTGCGGCCTGTGGCACTGGCACTGCCTGATCTGCAGCAAGTGGCAGAGCTGACTCTGCTTGGTGCAGGCATGCAGGATGCCTCTAGAATGGCTACCCGCCTATGTAAGTTCTTCTCCCTAGAGAGTGAGCTGGTGTCCGGGCCCGTGCCTTGCCGCTTGCCACTGCTCAAGCAGATACTGGAAGAGACAATACAGACACTAAGTGTGACCAAGAAGGAGGAGGGAGAGGAGGAGGAGGAGGAATTCAAGCCCCAGGATTCTAGCAGCCTAGTTGGCATTGAGGAGGCTGCCTTACTACGTGCTCTGCTGCACTCATCCCTGTTCAGCAGCCTGGATGGGCTCCGCCTGCACCACCTCCGAGAGCTGCTCCGCGGGATTTTCCCTACTGCTGTCCAGGTGCTGGCAGAGCCTATGACCCGTAGGAGGATGAAGTCACTGGTGGTAGAGGAACTGCAACAGGTAGATCTGCATCCAAGCCCTGACCTTATGGGGTCTCTGGAGCAGCTCAGCGAGGCCCTCAACTGGGCCTCAGGCATTGTGCTCCTGGGTCCTGCCGGGAGTGGCAAAACTACTTGTTGGCACAGCTTATTTAAGATCCAGAATCGGCTGGCAGCCCTGGAGAAAACCTCAACCCAGAGGTACCAGTCTGTGGAAATCACTCACATGTACCCCAGTGTGCTTAGCTCCCAGGAATTCCTGGGATGGCTAGAGGGCTCCCACTGGCACTGTGGTATCTTTCCCAGGGTACTTCGTGCTGCCCTTCACTATAGGAGCACGGGCCCGAAGGAGCAGGCTGAGGAACCGCTGAGGATCCAGCATTGGGTAGTATGCGATGGGGCCTCCAGTGCGGCTTGGCTGGACTCCATCACTTGCCTTCTGAGTGACCCCCCTCAACTCAGCCTCCCCAACGGGCAACAGATAGCACGACCCCCAGGTACCTTTCTTTTGATGGAGTTAGCAGATGCAACAGGTATGTCCCCTATGTTGGTGAGCCATTGTGCTCTAGTCTGGTGCAGTGGGGAGCAGACATGGCACAGCATGCTTAGCACCCTGATGGCAGCCCTTCCCCATGAGTACCACCTGCCACCCCATACGGTCGCTGCGCTCAACCAGCTGGTTGATGGTCTGGTGCCTGCAACGTTCCGATTCCTCACTCGCAAGGGTGCTAGTTCTCTGCTGCAGGTACATGGGCATCAGGCTGTTTGCCCAGGAGTGGCTGAAGTCACCAGCTTGGGCCGCATCTTGCGCGGTCTGCTTGACCTCCATCTTCACCTAGATGAGGAGAAGAAGGCACAAGATCTAGGTGGGAAGATGAAGGGGCTGGGTTGAAAGAAATGGAGTTGTGAGGGCTGCTGGGATATAGCTGGAATGGGTTCTTTGGTGGAGCTGGGCCAGGGGACTAAAAGTAAGAAGTAATATGATCAACCTCTGCCGTTTCCTCCACCTCCTGCTCTCTCTACTGGGCTTTCCATCGTGGCTGTGTTGACCACGACAGAGGACTCCAGCCTCAAGGCTTCAAAAAGCAGCTATGCAAACTGGCCCAAGGCTGACAGTGATGATGGGCCAAATCAGGACAGGGAGCATCTGCTCACTCTCAGCAGCTTTCTTTTTGCCCTGATTTGGGGCTTTGGAGCCCACCTTCCTTCTAGGTACCCATGAGGATGGGAGGGTGGGGCATGTGAAGGGCTGGACCAGCCCCTGTGAGTTAAAGCCCGCGCGGTATCACTGTGGGAATGTGGGGGATGTGTGGGTTGGTCCCAGGTGGGATTGTTATAACCATCTGACACTTTTGTCTGTGTGTCCCCTGAGCAGGTCTTGGCCCTTTTTTGATGTCTTCATAAGGAGTTCTATCGGTTCCCTCTCCAACTATCCTGAGCTACCACCCATAGCTTTAGTGTTTGAGCTACATGTGAACCCTGAAGATGGGACATTGGTCCCCTTCACTGGCCACTATCTGAGCAGCCGCATCAGGGGAACTCTGGGTACCTTCCACCCTTCTACTCAGGTGTGAGGAGAACTAGGGTTGGGACTTAAGGGTCTATGCTAGGGGTAGTTTTGAGGCCCAACTGAGATCTACCTGGTGCCATTTTTTGTTATGTTTTCACAATCACTAGAACATATGGAGTGTTCTCCAGGCATAGCTTTAAGACAAGTCTCTTAGACCCCTATTTTCAGCTAGATTACTGTCCTACCCTGGAACTGCCACAGTAAGCCCTGCTCCTGTCCTACAGACCGAACGGCTCTTGTATGTGGTAGACCTGCTTCTGTCGAGGGGGCAGCCAGTGCTGCTGGCTGGAGAGGAAGCAACGGGGAAGTCAGCCTTTGTGGAGGCGCTAGTGGAGCCAAGCCATCCTTACATATACAGCCCTGTCCACCCTGCCTTCTGTTCTACCCACTTTCGCCTCCTGCTAAGCAGAGGAGTCCAGGACCAAGCACAAGCCAGTCCATGGTCTGCACATCACCAGGATCCCAAAGGTTCCCTCCTCTTCCTGCTGGAGGATTTGCATTTGGCTTCTTCTGGTGAGGAGCTGGGAGAAGGAAAGGAAGAAGCTAGTGTCATTTCACAAGACTATAAAATCTCCAGTAATATACCCTGACTCAGATATATGTCCATAAATTAAGCTGTAGTGTTTTATTCTTAATGTCTTCTCATTCTACATATATTCCCTGAGAAATCTTATCCATTCATAGCCTCATCCTCCATCTCTTTGCTTTGACTGGTAACTCTCTCTCCACCCCTAGACTTCTCTTTTAAGCACAGGCCTGTTTATCCATCTGTGTCCTCTGCATCTCCACTGGGATGTCCATTGGCCCCTTAGACTGAACCCCACTGCCACACACAAAGTCTGCTCTGTGTGTCCTCTTAATAGCTGGTACCATTATCCAACCTGTCACTGAATCCAGAATTCTTTTTTTTTTTTTTTTTTTTTTTGGTTTTTTTTTGGTTTTTCTCCGGTACCGGGAACCGAACTCACGACCTAGCGCTTGCCAGGCAGGCGCTTTTGCCGCTGAGCTAAATCCCCAGCCCCTGAATCCAGAATTCTTGACAGCTCCTCTTTCACCCAGACCTAGTCACCTTTGGCTTTGAATTCTGCCTCCTAAATATTTTTTGAATCTTTTGCTGTACTTATGTTATGGTTCAAGCAAGCATTACCTGCAACTTTGGCAAATGCTTTTGCAAAGCTTTTCACAATGAGGGTTTCTCCTCCAGCTTCCTACACTCTGTACTCTAACTGGATTCAAGAAATCAGGCTTCCTGTGGCCTCTAGAACTGCTGGCCTGTGCCTTCTCTCCTCTGTTTGTTGGGCTAAATCCTGGTATTCTTTCCAAATCATCTAAGACAGTAGCACGTCCAGGAAGCCTGATCTTCCAAGGTAGGCTGATATCTACCCTCTGCTGTGTACAATATCTATAACAGTGATGTTTTGTGACTGTATGCTTGTCTGTCCCATTTACTACACTTTCAGCTTCATGAGAATAGGGATTTATTTCATTCATTTTGGTAGACCTGGCAGGAAGTAAGTGCTCAGTTAGTTTGTAGAAGAAAATACAGTATAAAGAAGAAAAGAGAGAAACTGTGATTAAAGGTTGGAATGCTGAAGTTTAAAGATTATAAACTTTTACCTCCAGATAATAACCAGTTTTAAGCACAGTCATGGGAATAAGCAGTAATAAAGTATAAGGAGAGGCTGCTGGGGTCAAGAAATGAGCTAAAGTACTGGATGGGTTGTCCAGTCAATCACTGAAGTCCTTTATGGGATGTGGGTAACTAGAACTAGGTATATTGAAACTTAAAAAATAATAGAAGGTACAACTTGTTGAGTATCATGTATTATATGCTTTATGTCAGCTTTAGTGTTTATAAAAACCTAGTAAGATGGAGACTTTTAACAATTATTTTAAAGATGCAGAAACTGAAACAGAAATTTCACAACTTTCCCAGCACCTCTTACCTACTGTGTCAGAATCAAGGTTAAAATTCAAGCTCGTTTAGTTCCACAGCCTATAAGTCTTCCCAACTATGTTATTTGACCTTTGCAGTGAATTTACATAAGTAATTAGGATGTCAGTGGACAGCAGGGGGAGTAAAAGGTGATACAGCCAGATCTGTGAAGAGATTTCACTTGGGAAAAGATTTAAATAAAAGTGTTGAAAATATTATGTGAACCATTATAGAGTGAAGAACATTGTACCTGGCAGAATGATAGTTATCTTTAGGCGACAGCCACCAGAACAGCCATATAACATTTAAAGAATGAATACACATTTTTAAAAAGCCAAAACACAAAAATGTGACCCACTATTAGGAAAAAAATCAATGGAAACTGACCCTGAAATGTTGTACAGGTTGGCATTAGCAGATGAGTACTTTAAAGCAGCTATTATATAGCCACTAGTATTCAGATATTTAAAGAAAAATAAGATCTTAATGATTGAACAGATAGAGAATCATAGTAAAATTGAAACCTTTGACAATAACTAAATGGAAATCATAGAACTAGAAAATACAATAACAAGTGAAAAATTCACTAAATGGGATTAACAGAAAATTGGAGGTGGTAGAAGTCAGTGAACCCTCAACAATATAAAAAGTGGCCGGGTGGTACACGCCTGTAATCCCAGCACTCGGGAGGCTGAGGCAGGCAGATTGTTGGGAGTTGGAGGCCAGCCTGGGCTACAAGTGAGCTCAAGGCCAGCATGAACTACATAGTGAGACCCTGTGTCAAAAAGACCAAATAAATAAATAAATAAAAAGGAATGCTTGTTCAAAAAAAAAAAAAAAAAAAAAGAATATAAGAATGTTAAATATGAATAAAACTTCATTCTAATACATATGTAACTGGAGTCCCAGAGGAAAGGAGAAGACGTTTAAGGAAGTAATGACCAACATTTCCCCAAATTTCACTTAAAATGCTGACTTTCAGATTAAAACCCCAGTTACCCCAAAGCAGAATATTACAAGAAAGCCAAACTAATCACATCATAGTAAAATACTGAGAAGAAAACCTGAAGCTGGCCAGAGGAAAAAGAAAAGGACACAGTATATATGGAGAAATGACATTAAGAATGATAGTTAATTTTTCATCAGAAACCACGGATTCCAGATGATGGCAGAACATCTTTAAACTACTAAAGGTAAAAAGAAAACTTGTTCACCTAGAATTTTTTTATCTAGAAAATAAAATATTTCAGACACAGGTACAGTAAAAAAGTTCATTTCTGCTAGAATTTCACTATAATAAATGGTAAATGATGAGAAAAAATGGAAACAGATCTACAGAAAAGAATAAAAAACATCAAAAACCGTAAATATGTGGGGACACATAAATGATTATTTTTTCTTCCTGTAATTTCCTTAAAAGACAACTGGTAGTTTAAAGCATAAATAATAACATTGTTAGGTGAATTGATAATGTATGTAGAAGTAAAAGAGACAATAGCTAAGATAGTGAAATTAGAATGGCAAGAAAAAGTAAATTGAGTTATATATTGTTTGTTTCTTATATTTGTGAAATGGCATGTGTAATGGTTTGGGACTTATGTGCAAGGGGAACAATATATAATACAGGACACATATTTTATAAGATTATTTATAATAGTCACCCAAAGAACGATATACAAGAGAGTACAGGGAATCTGTCCACACACTATAGACCAAGGAATCCAGCTGAGGGCCTGTATCGCATGGAAATGTCCAGCATGAGCCCAGCTGAAGACCTAGAGCTCATAACAGTGCCTCCCACGAATCCAACTGGAGGCCCAGAGCCCATAACAATACCTCATGCGGGCCTGTTTCCCAGATCTGCGCTGGGAAGGCCCAAAGGTCAGTGGTGGAATCTAGGAAGTCTGTGCCAGCAAGATGAAGGATCTGTGCTAGTAGGCTTGAGGGATTTGCACTGGAGCCAGTAAGAACCAGAGCTCCCTGGGAAGTTACCACAGCCATCCTCAGCAACAGCGAGGTCCTGAGCTCCTCCAGTGACAAAGACAGCTGAGTTCCCATCAGGAAAGCCAATGCAGCAAACTTCTCCAGGAGACTGAGCTGTGCACCCTATTCCCCTCTGGAACCAGGAAGCAATGCTCAGAGTAAGGACCAGAGCTCCCCCAAAGTGAACCAAAGCCATTCTCAGTGCCATCAAGGCCCCGAGCTCCTTAGAGGATGAAAACAGCCAAGTTCATGAGGAAAGCCAGTATGACAAGCTTCTCCAAAACAACCAACAGCTCCTTACAGTTTCTACCAGCTCCCAACAGTCTTTTTCCACTCCCAACAGCCTCCTTCTCCTTCTCTAGTTCTGCCTCTTATGCTGCTGGCAACAGTCCCCAGGTGGGATTGCTACCATGCTTGCTCAGTTCAGCTGGGGTTTATAAGTAGACCACCAGTTGTCAATCCATCCCTACAGCATGTTTAAACATTAAGTAACAAATAGGAAAGGTGTGAAGTGGCATGATATTACTTCTAATATTGGTAAGGTAAGAAGGCCTATTATGCTGGCAAGTTCGCATATGCCTGTAACCCCAGTATTTGGAAGGCTGAGGTAGGAGGATTGCCATGAGTTTAAGCCAGCCTGCAGGACATGTGGAGACCCTGTCTCAAAAGGAAAAAGAGGCTATTATTAGCCAGAGAAAAGTCACTAAATAATCATGATCAAGAGTAACTAAAGGGGCTGGGGATTTAGCTCAGCGGCACAGCGTCTGCCTGGCAAGTATGAGGTCATGAGTTTGATTCCTAGTGCTGGAAAAAAAAAACAAACAACAACAACAAAAAATTAAAAAAGAGTAACTAAAGAGTCAATAAATACAATGAGATATTAAAATATTTAAGTTTTACAAAAGGAACCAACAAAGTTACAAAGGTTTAAGAAGAGAAGAAACATAGAAAACAATAATATTATGGACTATAAATTTAATTATATTAAATGTGAATGGACTAAGTCTCCAAATAAAAAGACAACATCCTCAGACTAGATGAAAAACTAAGACCTAGCTATACACTAAGAGATTCACTTTAAATGTGCAAGTACAGGGCTGGGGATGCACAGTTAAGTAGTAGAATTCTTATCTAGCTGTGTGAGGCCCTAGTTTTGATCCCGGCACCAAAAATTTATAATACATACACACAGATAGATTAAAGGATCTTTTTGAAAAGGCAAAATAAACTGGCATCGTAGCACATGTCTATAATCCCACCACTCAGGAGGCTGAGGCAGGAGGATTGTGGATTCAAGGACAGGCTGGACTACAATATGAGACCCTATCTAAAAAAAAAAAAAAAAGGGGGGGGATGGGGATTTAGCTCAGTGGCAAAAGCGCCTGCATGGCAAGCGCAAGGTCATGAGTCCGGTTCCCGGTACCGGAGAAAAACCAAAAAAAAAAAAAAAAAAAAGCAAAGTAATACCATATCAACCAAATGAATAACAAAATTGTTGTGGCCATATTAATAACAAAGCAACTTAAGACAAAGGGTATTATTGAAGATACAGAAGGACATCTCACAGTTAAAAGATTCAATTCCTCAGGAAGACATAAAAGTCCTAAAACAGACTGAAATATATGAAGAAACAAGGGGGAAAAAAAGCAAATCCAAAAACATAGTGTGAGATATCATACTCCTTTCTCAATAATGAATGGAACAGTGGTAAGAAAGTAAACTATAGAGAGCTGAACAATTCCTGCAACCATATCAACTTTTACCCCAGAGCATTATGCCCACCAACTGCAAAATGTACTCTCTTTCCAAGTGTACATGTGTTAAGGTTTATATGTAGATGTCCCCGCACAGCCTCGTGCATTCACGGGCGGGGCGTTTGGAAGATGATGGATTACAGGGGCTTACAGCTGACTCACTATTAGGGTGTGGGTCGTTGGAGCCGGGTTTATCTCCCCCCACTGCTGCTTGTCTCTGAGCATCTCTGCTCTGCCATCCGTCCTGGCTTGGAGCCAGTGTACGCACTGAAACAGAGCCAAAGTAAACCTCTCTTCTTCCCAGCTGTGCCTGTCAGCTGTTGGGTCTCAGTGACGAGAAAAGTGACTAAGACAAAAGATGTATTCCCCAAGCGAGACCATATGCTGGGTAAAGAAATGTCTCAATCAAATTCAGAGTTTTGAAATTTTAGAGTATATTCTTTGATCATGATAATAAAAATCAGTAACAGTATGATACCTAGGAAGCCCCCAAATTCATTGAAATGAACAGCACACTTCTAAATAACTCATGTACCAGAAAAAAAGGTAGGGGAGCTGGTGATGTAGCTCAGTGGCAGAGAGCTCACCTGGTACAGATGAGGCCCTGGGTCCAACCCTCAGTGTGAAAGGGGGGAAAAAAGCTACAAGAGAAAGAAGAAAATATTTCAAACTGACTAGTTATGAAAAACATCAAGATTTGTGGGAGACACCTAAAGTAGTGCTTAGGTAGAAGGTTATAGCATTAATGCCTGTTATGGTTTGTGTCTAGATGTCCCCACAAAGCCTGATGCAGTTTTAGATAGGCCTTCTTCAGAGGTGGCTGAATCTATAGTGTGTGATTGGTTGGTGGTGCAATGCTGGGATTCAGGGTGCTGGGATTAACAGTGGGAGATTGATGGATCAGCCCAGTGATTGGATTGGAACCACCCTAATCCCAGCAGCCTGGATAGAGTATAAAAGAGGCAGAAAGACACTGTTAAGGGTTGGTTGTTGCTTTTGCTGTCTTCTGCCTCCATGAACTGTTACCTCTCTGAGATGTGCCACCTTGCCTTGGAGCTAGCCATTTATGGACTGAAACCTCCACAAACTGTGAGCTAAATAAACCTTTCCTCCCTTAACTTTGGGTATCAGATATTTTGTCTCAGCAGCAAGAGAAAAGTAAAACAATGCCTGTGTCAGAAAGGTCTGGACTAAATGACCTAAATTTTTGCTTACGAACCTAGAGAAAATAATAATCAAACTAAGGGAATCAAACTAAGGACCTTGTGCTTGCCAGGCAGGTGCTTGTGCCACTGAGCTATGTCCCCAGCCCTGAAAATAAGTTAAACCCAAGGCAATTAGAAGGAAATAACTAATAAAGACCAAAGCAGAAATCAATGAACTAGAAAACTACTTGAACTGTAGAGACTATCAACTGAGCCACAATTTGGTTCTTTGAAAAGGTAAATAAAGTCTACAGTTGCCTAGCAAATAAGTCAAGAAATAAATAGGAAAACATGTGTTCAATGTCAAGAATAAAGGAAGTTTAGGTATTTTAAAAGGTAACTATTATGAAAAGCTTTATACTAATAAATTTGGTAACGTAGATGAAATGGATGGAAGCTTGCAAAACACAACTTATCCAAGCTTGACTTGTAATAGAATAAAAAAATGAATAGATATGCAGGCATGGTGGTGCACATCTGTAATCCCAGCATTCAGCAGGCTGAGGTAGGAGGATCACTGTGAGTTCAAGGTCACCCTGGGCTACATAGTGAGTTCAAGGCCAGTGAGTTCAAACAAAAACAAAAGCAAAACAAAAAAAATAAGAACTTAGAAAGTAACTTTCTAAATTTAATAAAGGTAAACATGCAGGTAATTATGTTCTTAAAGTCTGAGCTCAAATTTGTAACCCTACTGCCTCCGCCTTCTAAAGTGCTGCGACCACGAGCACAGGCATGTGGACCATGACTGGCCTTTAAACAGATTTTTGAAGTGTAGCTGTGATACAACTTATACTCTCTTTGACCAAAATAACTGCACTTTCACCCCGTGACTGGACCTAGTTCCCAACCACTCTGCCTTCCAAATCTTACTACAATATTCATTTTCTTTTCGTTAATGAATAATTGCTCATAGAGGTAGGATCTGAATGAGAAGAGGAAGTAACATGCTCAGACACGGCCACGTGCCAACCCATCAGAGGCACGGAAATCTCCAGAACTCTGTGTGTGCTGGGAACAGAGCCGGGGGCCAGGGATGGGAGGCACAGGGAACACACTCACGTGGACTCGTCCTCACCATTACTCTTTGTGTCCCACAGATGCGGAGAAGAGCTGCCAGCCAGTGCTGGAGACTCTGCGACAGGCCATGGACGGTACCGTGTATGCCCACAGCACACTGGAACTGCAGACACTGCAGCCTACGGTTAACTTCCTTGCCACTACCACAGTGCCAGGAGGCTGTGGGCACCCGCTGTGCCCACGCCTCTTTCGACTCTTCACGGTGCTGGCCCTCGGCAGCGTGACGCAGGCCACCCTGCTGAGCAGGCATACACCTAGCATCCAGGCGTGGCTTGAGCGATTTCCCTCTGTGGAGCAGGTGGGCATTCTGGGGAAAGCCCTGGTGCAGGCCTCAGTAGAGGCCTGGGAGGCGGTGTGCCGCCGCTTCATGCCTTCGCCCCTCCACCCACACTACCGTTTTTCCCTGCACTCTGTGAGCCATCTTCTGGGAAGCCTGCAGCTACTGCCTAGCAAAGTGGGCTCGCAAGTCTTTGAAGACTGTTTCTACGACAAGGAGCACTTGTATCGGGTGTCAGGGTTGCAGGGCACTTGCCTCACTATTATGATGACCATGCGCTGCGTTGTACGCCTTTGGTTGCATGAGGCACAGAGAACTTTTTGTGATCGGCTGGACAGCCCCAGGGAACGCTCTGATTGTGCCAATCTGCTCCTAGAAATAGCTCAACGTGTCTTCTGCCATGGGCCAGGGCGCCAGCCCTTGGGCAAGGACCATAAGGAAGAGGAGGAGGAGGAGGAGGAGACGGTACCTGAAGTAGAATCTGAGGGAGAGTTGGCCCAATGGGAAAACATGAGCAACAGCAACAGCGAAACAGAGGAGGAAGAGGACCCTTACGGCCTTCAGGCCACCCCAAGCTCATACTCCACTGATCCGAGTCTAGCACCATCCATAAAGACAGTAAGCCTGGAGCCCATGGAAAGCATAAGTCACAAGGCGGAGCAGGAAGAAAGCAGAAGGGCTTCCAGCTGTAAGCTCCAGTCAGAGGAATCCAACATTTGGTGGCAGAAGGCAGGCCCGATGGACATGGTCACACCCCTGTTGCTACCAGTGCTACTACTCCGTCCCAAGGAAAAGCCCTCAGACCTGGTCTTCTGTCAGGAGCTGATACTTGGGTCCAATTCTGAGGGGCCTAATTTGTATCTAGAAAGACAGTGGGTGCGCTTGGAAAAACAGCTGGCCACGTCAGCTGCTCAGCTGCGACTCAGCCCCCACCTTGTCCGGATCCGCCCCCTGGCCCAGCATGTGGCCCGCCTGGTCCGGGTGCTGTCCAGGCCCCGCCAGCATGGCCTACTGCTCTCAGGGGCTCTGGGTACTGGGCGCCGTACTGCTATCACTCTGGCCACTAGCATCTGTCAGGCTCACCTCTTCCATCTGCCAACTGGGCCCGAGGAGGCCATTCTCCGGTGTCTACGAGATGCCAGCTGGGATGCTGGAATGTTAAGCCACCCGGTGGCCCTGCTGGTGCCCAAGAGTGTGGATCTCACTACTCTTTATCGGCTGGCAGCCCTGGCATCTGTAGGCAACTTCCCTGAGCAGTACACAGAGGCAGATTTGGACAGCATCGAAGAACATCTCCCCAGGGAGAACCTTGGTATCAAATACAACACGAAGAAGGAAATCGTGTTGCAAAGGTGAGATCCAGAACGCCATACCCGACCCTGCTCTGCTATTACTCCTGGCCCCGAGGCCCAAGTGAAATCCACGGGTTATGGCAAGGGCTCAGACGATAAAGGCAAAGCGCTCAGGGTTGTAACTGGAGCCTAGATGGGCAAAGGGGTCAAGAAAAAGACACCAGCTGAGTTTCTGTCCATAGGTTCTACCAGCAAGTATGTAGCCACTTGCACATGTTTTTCTTGATGGGAGATGACCAGGCCCAAAAGAAGCTGCCCTCCACCTTTTTTCTGAGGCTCCTTCAACTAGCCACTGCCAGCATTGACCACTACGAATCTTGGGACCAAGCTTCCCTGGTGAGAGTGGCCCAGTACCACCTGGAGGGTGCTGAAAGCCTACCCCTTGATGACGGTAGGAGCCCTTTTCACCCGTCCTCACCACTCATCTCAATCAGGTTCTGTTATTACCCAGGCTAGTCACTCTCCCCTCCCCTACCTTCTCTCCTTCCCTATCCTCCCCTCTCCTCCCTTTCGGTCTCTCTCTGCTTCCTTCACATTTTCTGCCCTCTTTCCTGAGCTAGGAGAGGGTACCTTCCCTTTCCCATTCCCCTAAGCTCACAGGCTAGGCTAAAGCCATGCCCATTGCAGGATCCTTCAAGTGCCCAGACCTCCAGGCCTCAATTCCTAGTGTGGCTAAAGCCATGGCTCTCATCCACCTTTCTGCTGCCTACTACCATGAGCACTTGTGCCCTGTATTGCCTCTTGTCACCCCCAAGACCTTCTTAGACTTCTTGGATACTTTCCTGCTGCTGCAGCAAAAGATGATCCTGAAGATGAAAAATAGAGCAAAGATGTAAGTGGCCCCATTCCTGCAATTTACGTCCCGCTTTCTTGGGCCACTCACTGGTATGTGTACCCCCAGGATCCAGAACGCCCTGGAGAATCTGCGAATTCTGGTTGAGCAGCACAGGGTCCGCACCACCCTGGTCATCAACTTGGAGCACCAACTAAAAGACTCCCAGAAGGTAAGAGGAAGATTGTGAGACTTATATAGGTGCAGCAGAGCAGAGCGAAAGGGTACTGGGAAGGAACCAACCAGAGTGGACTTTAGCTTATTTTTCCTAGAATTGCCCTTTCCCCTGGGAAGTCTCTATAACCCTTGATGAAAGTTAAATAAGATCTTGAGAGCGTGTTTGGAGGTTCTAGCAGTGGAGCTCAGCTACTAGTATACCCTCAACTGAGGAACGGTCCTCCTTTATTGGGGATGGTCGTCCTCTTTGACCAAGCGCGCAGCTTTAGGAGGGACACATATGGAGCATTGAGGGAGGAAGGAGACACCCTCCTAGCTAGCCAGATAAGCCGAATCAGCCCTGGTGATCAGTAGGGTGACAGATGTCGCAGACAGATCGCCCTCATATCCGAAATGAGATCTTACATGCAAAGCACTTAAAAGTGCTGGCATACAACTCAATAGGTAAGATTTGACCAGCCATAGAAGGTGAGGAGGAAGAATGTCCATGCTGAAGTAACAGTGTATTAAGGCCCAGGGGCAAGAGAATATTTTCCCCATTGGAGGACATAAGCCCTACTGAAGGACGTAAACCCCCTTGGAGAGAACATTGCCCCACTGGAGGTAAGGGTAGCTGGAGAGTCAAGGGCTGGAGGAGAAAGAAAAAGAAGAGGTTGGAAAGATAAGTAGGGACCTGATCAAGAGGCATTGTCAACCAAATGTAGGAGTAACGTGTGTTAAGGGACATGATGAGATTCTATTCTATTCCATTCCATTCCATTCCATTCTATTCCATTCCATGCCATGCCATTCCATTCCATGCCATTCCATTCCATTCCATGCCATTCCACTCTGTTCGAGTGATACTGGGCATTGAACCCAGGCCCTTTACACTGAGCTACTTCCCAATCCTTTTGTAATCTTTAATTTTTGAGACAGGGTCTCACTAAGATGCTAAATTGTCCAAGCTGGACTCAAATTCAATATCCTTCTGCTTCAGCCTCCCAAAATGCTAGGATTACAGGTATGACTCACTATACCTGGTTGAGATTCTGGTTTTAGAAAATCAGAGCCAGCTGTGGTGGTGTACACCTATAATCCCAGCACTCGGGAGGCTGAGGAAAGAGGATCACTGTGAGTTCAAGGCAGCCTGAACTACATATTGAGACCCTGTCTCAAAAAACCAAACAAACAAAAAAATCTTTTTAAGAAAGAGAGAGAGAGAATCAGTTAGGAGTGAATATGAAAGAAATTTAGGAGATGTAATTAAAAGATCTCAAAGATGGCCTGGGTTTGGGGGAATAGAAGACATGGGGTGGGAGGGCAACTGGAGATATAGCTCAGTAAGAAGGTCCTGAGATCAATCCCCAGTACTGCAAAGAAAGAAAGAAAAAGAGAAAGAAAGAAAGAAAGAAAGAAAGAAAGAAAGAAAGAAAGAAAGAAAGAAAGAGAGGAGAGAAGAGAAAGAATAAAGGATGGCAGAGAAAGGAGGTGAGAAACGATAGCCAGAAAGGTTGGAGAAAGCCCAAGGAGAACACAGTATCATGAAGGCCAAGGGAGACGAATGCTTCCAGACAGAGGGAACTATTTCCCATAACAACACTTCTGAGGAGCCAAGATAAGGAGAGCAGCATAATAGTTACACATGCTTTGGAGCCAGATTGCCTGGGCCTGTATGCTAAAGTGGCTACCACTTACTTGGGCTGCATTACTAGATGTGTGACTTACACAGCAGCACGTGATAGACCCAGAGCTCAGGCTCTATCTGTGGCCTACCTAGAGCCCACCTTGGTCACCCTGTCAGGGTTATGGGGTCCTTCCCTATGGGTCCTTCCCGCCCCCCAGGATCTAGAGCTGCAGGGCCTGATCTCCGTTCACAGAACCTCAACCAAGCTCAGCAGCAGCTAGAGCAGAGCAAGCTCCTGTACAAGCAGCAGCTGTCAGAGTGTCGACACCAGGAGAACCTCACTGAGAACCTGGCCAAGCAGCGGGATGCCCTGCAGGCTCAGCACGAGGCTTTCCTCGACCAGGTGGGCCCTTCCCGCCACCTGCCCCGCACTGCTCTCTTGGGAGAGGACAGCCCCTTATAGGATGTACATAGCAGAGGATGAGGTGACTCATCGGGGTCTCTGGGGAGAGAGGGCAAAGGTCATAGTATGCCTTGGGGAGTGGCCCCTTCTGAGGCCTCCTAGGAGAAAACGCTCCCTCCTTGAAGAAAGAGCAGAGCACCTCAGGAGCTCGCTTCAGTGTGCATCTCTCCTCACTTAGATGGGCAAGGCGTTTCTGGGTCCCCTGAGCCAGCTGCAGGTGGCTGACTTTGAAGAGATACGGAGCTATCGAGCACCACCCGAATCTGTAGTGCGGGTGACTGATGCGCTATGTGAGCTGTTCCACCGTGAAACCGGCTGGGCCAGTGCCAAGCAGCTTTTATGCACTGAAGATTTTTATCAGGTAGGGCAGACGAAGGAGGACAAGAGAGGCATACAGGGGAGGCTTGGCGGGGTCGAGCTCCAGAGCAGCTGCATCTTCCCCTTTCCCCTTGCACATACCCTCCCAGGAGCTGGTGTTCTTCCCCAAGGAGAAGATGACAGACTTGGAGCTGGTCAGGTTGAACCAAGCTCTGAAGGCCCCGGGTATGAGCGACGCAGCCCTGAGGGCAGTCAGCGTGCCTGCAGCGAGCCTGGCGACCTGGCTGTGGGCCGTTCTGCGCTACAGGCTGGCACAGCACCGGGGACTGCCCACGGGCCTACTGCTGCGGCAGGTGGAGGCAACCCTGGCTCGGGAGCAGGCCCGCCTAGGCCACTACCAGCTGCAGGCCCAGGAGAAGCTGGAGGATATTTTGACCTGGACTAAGAAGGTGCAGGATGCCCACGCTGCCCACAGATGTATGCTGGGCACGCTCACTCTGGCACAGCATGGCCGTTATCAAAAGTGGACCGTGAGGCCTGCACTGATCACACCCATACACACTTGGACTATGCAGCTCCAGGTAACGGCCCCTCCCAGCCATCTCCCTCCTGGTTCATTTACACCCCAGCAGTGCTCACAATTCCTGCACCCAGCTCTCCTCACCACCCTACTGGCCTGCATACCCTGCCTTGCTGTCTCTCGCGAGACCCTCTTCCTGTCTGCCCTCCCAGCCTACATACTTCTGCTCTCCCCTCCACGCCAGAATTTGAAGGGACACTGCCTGACCGTGTTTGGAGATGCTCTTGTGTGTTCAGCTGCTATTGTCTACCTGGGTCCCTTCCCACCACCACGGCGCCAGGAGCTCCTGGACAAGTGGCTGGCCCTGTGCAGGGGTTTTCAGGAGGCCCTGGGCCCAGATGATGTGGCACAGGCGCTGAAGCAAAAGCAGAAGTCTGGCATCGTCGTGCCACCAAAGACCCCCCTGCTGCCCACACGCTTACCCTTCAGAATTCTGTCCTTGCTGAGCTGTAGTTCTGAACAGAACCGGTGGGACCGGGACCTGAAGCCCCAGGTGAAGTCGGCTCGCCTGGCAGGGCTGCTCCTGCGAAGCTGCACCCACTACCATAGTTGCCGTTGGCCTCTGCTGCTTGACCCCAGCAACCAGGCCCTCATGTGGCTGAGCCCGCTGCCTCTGGAAGAGAACAGTTGCTTGGCTTCAGCCCCCATGGAGGGCGGAGGTAAGGCAGGGGTAGTAACACAGTGCTTCGGGGTGTCTCAGCCTCCATGGTCTTCCTTTTCATAGTGGAAATACTGAATTTTTGTGGCCAGGATATCCCAGATTTTATCAGCCTATCGTATATTAATAAATGTGGTCACATTTGCTTTTTTTTTTTTTTTTTTTTGGCCTGTAATGCAATGATCCTGATTTTACATGGGCAACCAGAATCTATGCTCTTGCACTTTCCTGGTCTCCTTGGCACTGTTGGAAACCTTGCTCACAAACCAGAGTTTTACTGCCCAATTTATTCAATGCTGAGAAATTCCAAGGGAACATTTTTATTGAGTATTTTTGGATCATCTTAGTGGTGTATTGGAAGAAAGATTTCCTAGGAGAAGGCAGAGAGTGCGTTTATTTTCCAGAAGATGGAATTAGGGGGTTAAATAGGTGAGGAAAATGTGACCTTATTTGGAAAACAGGTCTTTGCAGATGTAATGAAGTTCAGAACCTTGAAACGAGATCATCTTGTATATTATGTGAATGGGCGCTATGTTCCATGATAAGCATCCTGTAAGAGACAGAGGAGAATACATAAATACATAGAAAAGATGGCTATGTGAAGTGAGGCTGATACAAGAGTTATGCAGCCACAAGCCAAGGACACCTGGAACCACCACTGGATGGAAGAAGCAAGAAATCTCCTTAGAGCCTCACCAACACCTTGACTTCACACTTCCAGCCTCCACAACCATGAAAGAATAAGTGTCTGTTGTTTTAAGCCACTAAGTTTGTGGTAATTGTCCCTGGAAAATAATATACATATCATAGTTGCAAGATGTCTGCTGTCCTTCCAATTATCCTGGTTATTTCTGTCCCTGTTATCAAGAAAGTAAAAAACCTTCCAGAAGTCTGACTAGCCAAAAGTGGTAGGCAGAATTTTGGGCTCTGTGATATTTGCTTTCTTGTATTACTGTCATGATTATGTTACATTATATGATACAAAAGACTTTGGAGATATAATTAAGTTACTAATCAATTAACCTTAAGATAGAAATATGTTACCCTGAATTATCTAGGTGGTTTCATTTTTTTTTTTTTTTTTTTTTTTTTTTTTTTTTTTTTTGGTCTTTTTGAAACAGGGTCTCATTATGAAGTTCAGGCTGGCCTTGAGCTCACTTTGTAGCCCAGGCTAGTCTTGAACTCGCAACGATCCTCCTGCCTCAGCCTCCCAAGTGCTGGGATTACAGGCGTGCGCCACCATGCCTGGCCAGCAAGTGAGATTTTTAAAGCAGAAAGGAAAACCAGGCATGGTGGCTCATACCTACAATCCCAGCACTCTGGGAGACTGAAGCAGGAGGATCAAAAGCCCAGCCACAGCCTGGGAAATTTAGCAGTTCAGTGAGATCCTGTCTCAAAACAAAAAAAAAAAAAAAAAGAAAATTCTTTTTTAAAGACTGGGGATATAGTTTAATCCCCAGTATGAGGGAAAAAACAGAAAAGAGGAAAGAAAACACAGAGGTTTAAAACGCAAGAAAGATTCAAAGAGCTGGTGCTGGTGCACACATGGAAGGGGCCACGGGGCAACTGTGAGAAGGAGGGGAATTCTGTCAGAAACTAGTAAGAACCAGGTGTGGTGGCGCGTGCCTATAGTCCCAGCTACTTAGGAGGTTGAAGCAGGAGGATCACTTGAGCCCAGGAGGGCCTTTGAGGCCAGGATGAGAAACAGAGCAAGATCCTGTCTCAAAACAAAAACAGAAATCCATAAAGCCTGGAAAAAGTTCTCAAGCTGCACAGGAGCCTTGTCGCCCAGCTAACACCCTGGTTTTACCTCTGTGAAACCCTGAGCACAGAATCAATCCCTGCTGTGCGGAGCCTCCAACCTATAGGACTGTGAGATAACACGGGCCTTGTTTCAAGCTGTTAAACTTTTGGTAACTTGCAGCACAAGAAAATGATGAACCACACACTGCAGACCTGGCAACCTCCATTTTCAAGAGAACCTGAGGAAAAAAATAAACAAAAGCATTTATCACTTGCAGCTCCTGCGGCAGAGCCCAGGAGTTTTAGGTCAGCCTGGGCACCACAGCAAGGGGGAAAGGTGGACAGGAATCGCTGTGGGGTCTACGGCCATAGCACCCTGAATGTGCTCGTTCTGGTCTGATCTCTGAAGCTAAGCAGGGTCGGGCCTGGTCAGTACTTGGATGGGAGGAATGGCTGTGGGATAGCCGGCCATCTGGGTTCCCACACTGCACATGACTTGGCTAGTTCCATAGCTGATGGCCTTTCCACTGAGAAACCACTGTTGCAGCCACTGATCGCCAAATTGTTGAGGCCTCTTTTAGTTATTAGTGGCAGAGTTAGCTTAGGTTAAAAAAAAAAAGGGAAAGGCGCTGACTCTTCTAACCAACCCACAGAAGGGGCAGAAATGGAGCCAGTTTCAGAGATGACTAAGCCTTCTCTGGGATTTAGAACAATAATGTGAGCCAACTTTATTGAGCACTGTCTGTGTGCCAGCCTGAGTGCTGTCTATGTATCGTTGCATTTGATCTTCACGGTGACCCTATGAGGTCATCTTTAATATCAGCTCCACTTTGTAGATCAGAAAAGTGCATCACAGAGGTTGAGCACCTCCCTAAGCTGTCCTCTTGCCGCCCTTCCCTCATGGAATGGAGCCTTCCTCTCAGCAGGGCTCCCCTGCATCTTTCTACCCCAGGGAATGGCCTCATGGGGAATCCAAACAGAGAGAACAAAGAGGAGCCCATGGGAGGAGGCGATGATAATGGAGAGAGAAACGAAGCTAAAGAGCAGGCCCAAGCACAGAAGGCAAAGGAACAGGAGAATGAGGAGGAGAAGGAAGAGCACAAGGGGGAAGAGGAAAAGGAGGAAGAGGAAAAGGAGGAAGAGGAGAAAGAGCACGAGGCAGAGAGTCAGGGGTCAAAACCTGCCTGTGAGACCCCGTCTCCGCCTCTTCTCTGCCTCAGTGTGCTCTCAGGCACTGACCCAAAGTTGGGTCCTCGGCTCAGGGAGGCAGCTGCCAGTGGTGAGAATGGATCCCCTTCCCTATGCCCCCGCTGTGCTCCCCGAGTCCAGTGATCCCATAGGCTTCTTGCACCACGCTCCGAGCTTAGCTCTGATCTTTTCCCCCACTGTGTTGAGGAATTTTTAGGGAGGCCTCTTATCAGATGGAGGCATGTGGGTCAGAGCCAGGTCTCTGCAGGGACAGCGGCATGGGGCCTGGCACTATGGGTTGGTCGTCCTTGTTTCCCTTCACAGGCCAGCCCGTGCTCCTGACTAACATGGAGCTGGGCCTCGGGTGCCCAGAACTGCAGTGGCTGCTGCAGCGGGAGCAGCTGAGTCCACCGCACGTGCAGCCTGGCTTCTGCCTCTATCTGAGCACGACCCTGCCCCTCCATGCCCTGGAAAAAGGTGAGGCCCAGAGGGTAGGTTGCTAGCGCCAGCTTTGTGGGCACATTAGGCTCCCCGGGGTTCATTCATCCTGGCACAGAGCAGGTTCAGAACTGTAGTAGGGAGCCACATTCCCTGCCCACCCCCTGGCCCTGCCAAGGGAAAGGAATTAAGCATATTTCTTGTGACCCCCCAAGTGCTAGGTTGTGAACTGCTGAAGGGGCTGAATGTCCTGGATCTGGGCCTAAACTTGGAAGTACTAGAAAACCAGGTGCTACATGAAGTCATGCACAGAGAGTGTCCTGAGCTTGAGATCCGCTGGGAGGACCTAAAGACCAGAGCCCTGGATGCCTGCGAAGCCATAGAGGCTGCTGAGGTGCTTGGGGGCCCAATCTGTGGGACAGGCTGAGCATGGGAAGGGGCCGGGTAGGGAGGCAGAGATGAGTGCAGACATTTGGGTGCTGTAAGGAAGGGCCAGATCCATCCAAACAATTACTATATGCAGGAACAGTTGCTGACGATGCTGCTGTTCCAGAACCCACTGCATGAGAAACCCACCAAGTTTATGCGGGACATTGTGAGAGCCCAGGCAAAGATCTGTCAGATGCAGGCCCATTATGAGGAGCTGAAAGAACAGAAGCTGCAGGAGGTGGTATTGTGGGTACCCTACCAGCAGGTGGTTTGGCATGGAATAGCCATAGTAAAGACCCTAAGCACTCTGCAGAACTCGCTGCCCTTTTTCCATATGAGTGCAGAAAACTGGCTGGCAGCAATCAGGCAAGCTCTGGACAGCATGAAGCCGCATGATATCCAGCACAGGGAGGACCTGGCCAGCCATCTGCTGCAGCTGAAAGCACACCTGACCCGCCAGCTGCTGGGCATTACCTTGACTGCACTAGGACTAACCCAAGTGCCCTTGGTGGGTGCCTTGGGTGCTTTGGCTCTGCTGCAAGTGACAGAGAATGCACCAAAGCTGGAGAGGCTGGCACTCTGGCCTGGACTGGCAGCCTCTCCCAGCACAGGCTACCAGAAGCCAGACCCAGGTGTGGTGCGGCCAGCCTGGCTCACACCGAGAGCCTGGCACGAATGTGGGATATTAGAAGTGCTGCCCCCGTTTGTTGGGCTGCGTGCCTCCCTGGCAGACCGCTCCAAGGTTTGGCAGGATTACCTGTCACTGCATTCCACAGTGCTGGGTCCTGCACCTGGGCCCAGCTCTGAACCACTCAGCCTCCTCCAGAAGTTGATCCTGTGGCGTGTGCTACGGCCCGAGAGCCTAGCAGGTGCCCTAGCAGACCTTACCACCAGCCTCCTGGGCCGGCCTCTGGATGAGAACCTGGGTATCCCCACCTTGCCCTTTGAACAGAGTCAGGCTACTCAGCCCATTCTGATCTTGTTGCCACCGCCTGGCCACCCCACAACCACCCTCCATCCTCTGACTGTTATCCAGAAACAGGCTGCCTCAAATAAGCAGGTTTGAACCTAGCCTCTTGGCCACAGAGTGACTGGGACCCTATGGGGTGGGATAGTGGGTGGAAACCCTCCTCAGCATTCTTACAGGTCTTTTGTGGATTACAAAATTACTTTGGGTGTCCCTGTGAGACACTTGGGTCACCCTAGTGTCACTTTGAGTCACTGCCACCTTTCTGCTGGTCCCCAGGGGCAAAATCATCTGCAGGTGATAGCCCTGGGCTCAGAGGCCTGGAACCCAGTCTCGGATGTGGTCAGCACCCTAAACCAGGCCATGTTGGAGGGGCACTGGTTGGTGCTGGATAACTGTCATCTGATGTCCCACTGGCCAAGAGAGCTACTGCAGCCCTTGCTGGGGCTGTTGGATGGAGCCAAGGGTGAGTGTGCTGCCAGGAGAGGATTCTAGTATCTGAAGCTGCACTTGGCTTTAAGCTTGAACTCTCAGGCCTTATGACTGATCCTCTAGCTCCAAGCCTGTCCCCTGGACCTTGCATCTG